TATATATATATATATATATATAAGTATATATAGATAGATAGATAGATATATAGATATAGATATTTGAGTTTAATAAAAAAATTATTTAGGTATCTTTATACATTACGATATTTATTGATCATTTATTCTTGTTTTCTTGAAAAAAAAGCTCAAAGTATAAATACAAATATTTTAGCAATCACCAAAGTCCCATAAAATAATTAATTAACATGTGGCTTCTTTACTTATAACAATCGATATTTCTATTTCTAAAAAGTACTCAGAAGGGCACAGATAAATAGAAGAACGACAGTATAAATAGAATAAAAATTCTAATTTCGTTTTCCGCGAAATTCTCGAATACGTCTACGAAAAAAATCATTCTTAAAAATCAAAATTACAATCGCAATATATTCGTTCGTTTTTGAGCGACAGTGTATATGCTGCGTTTCGAATAGAATTAGCAGGTGTTCGAATCAACGAACGAGTGGTAACTCATATTAAAAAAAATTTGCGTTTGCAAACGAGACTCGTGGATGACGGTGAGAAAACGTTTCATCCATTTCCAGATCCAGCCTGGCCGCCCAGGATTACGATGTACCTCGATCGCGTCTTCCAGCATCCTCGTTACCGTCCCGGCACAACACGCCCGTGCCTAAAACACCGACACCACCACCCCCGCCGCAAACGCAGCAGATCTACGACGTTCCAGTCAGCAAGGAGCTTCCCCTGGAGCTGGACTCCGCTTTGGAAGGTCTGCAGAGGCTGCAGAGCGAGGCGTCCGCCGCGATAGCCAGGTTACTCGGGTTCGTGAGCCCCGTTTGGAGAACGCCTCAGCGATTAGACGCGACTCTGATGGATCTCAGGCTCGCCGCGCTCAGGCTTAGAACGTCGTTGCACGATCTCGCTGAATTTGCCGAAGGTAATTTTCGTATGTTTGCTGGCGTCGCGCCATTTTCAACGGAAATGTGTGAACCACAGGTTTCCGAAAATCCTTTTAAAGAGAAGATCAAGTGGATTGCTGAAATGATTTATCGGAATCAAACTTTTTTTTGGGGGGGGGGAGGGGGAAGAGAGGATTAAAGTATTTTTGGAAAAGTAATAAAAAAAAGAAAAGAGATAGATAGCAGTATTGATTTTTTATAAATTTTTCTAAAAAATTTCTTGTTTCTCAGATCTTGACATGACCCATTTCTAGTTTCCCAAAATCATCCAACCGCGCATTAATTCCTTCTTCGAATTATTTCAATGAAGAGTAAAACTTCTCTATTCCTGTAAGTTTCTGAAAAAAAATTTTTTCTTCTTCTCAGACCTTAAGATCTTACACCCTTGCGTTTGTCTTAACTCCAGTCCAAAAGAAACGCCTCTAATTTACGCTTCCGAAATCATCGACCACGCAATGATAACAAGAGAAAATCCTTCTTCGATCTTCGAATTATTTCACTGAAGAGTAAAAGAGTATGATACAGAGATCTCGACGTTGAACAACGGCTGGTCCATGTAACACGTACAAAAAGAATTCCAAGATTTTAGAGGAGGCTTCTCGTAATTTCTCTTCCTCTATGCACAGTATGTATTTTCGCGCAGGCACGCTGGGCAACGCAGGGAAAGCACCGGACAAAGGCTTGGCCTCGAAACTACGACCTCTAGTCAAGGCCCTCCGCGATTCCGACAAACTCGTGCAGGAAGCGGCCACCGAGCTGGACGCGATGGAATGGGACGCTGGCAAACTATGTCGCGGGGGTGGCGATACTCCGACACCTACTAACGGGCCCCCTTCGTCCCTGTTGCCACCGGTGCAACCGGATCCGCTCGATCAGCTGATCGCGTGCGCTCAGGCACTCACGGAAGACGTTCGTCAGGTCGCCAGTTTCATTCAGGTGAGCATCGATCGGAGGATGTTGAAGCGGAATTGCGCCTTCTGATTGATAGAATTGAGAAAGAGAGAGAGAGAGAGTACGAAGAATTAATTAACACGTTGATCGGCACGCCAATCTTTGTAATACAATATATAATGTTTTCATTGTTGAATAACGTATTTTTTACTTCATAATATTGGTCACAGGTGACCAAAGTGGCATTCAACGTGTTATCACGTTCCGTGGCAAGCGATTTTTGCCTTTTGTTGTCGTTCAGGCCATTTGTATTACATCATCAATCGATAAGTAGTTCTCTTGTTTAGAGTAGCTATCACATCGTTAAATCATCAGCAATCGATAAAAAGTAGTTCTCTTGTTTAGAGTAGCTATCACATCGTGTACCACTTGTGGTAACAGTTTCTCTTTGTTTAGAGTGTAGCTATCACATCGTGTACCACTTGTGGTAATATTATTAGAAATATGGTGGCCAGCTATCACATCGGTACCACTTGTGGTAATATTATTAGAAATATGGTGGTACACGTGGCCTGAAAATCAAGTTTAACGTGTACCACCGGTGGTACACATGGCACGGAACGTGTTAAACGACAGTTGCAATGCGTAGTCTAAAATAGTTGGAACGCGAGAGAGTTAATGTTGGAAGAATTAAATGGAAATTTCAGCGTATTTATAGACTGAAATATACACGAAATAAATTGAAGGCTCTTATCTTTTCACAAATGTGCATCATTAAGACTGAGAATCATAATGATATATACATCCGCTGTTATTTTTCATCAAATAATCCATTGTTACAATTTTTATCATTAGAATAGCTTATTATTATAAAAATTAATTCTATATTCCCAAATTGTGAAAAGGTATCATCATACTACTATTCTGAAAATTTACATCAGCCTCTTCGTCTACTAACTTCACATACTATTTCAATTTTAATATTAAATTCGTCATGCTGTTATCTATACGAATTTACCAGTTTAATTACTAAAAGACGCGTCGTTCGACAGATTAAAAATTCAGCTATTTGTATAAAAATTACCAGTCGTGGATGATGGAACCTTCCAAAATAATCGAGCTCGTTTAAAATTTGCCCGAAACAGGGGAACTCGACCCTGCTGTTCAAACGGTCGTCGATCATTTCGACCGGTAGCAGCAACAACAGCGGTGCCGGCGAGGATTACGACTACGTAAATCTCGACTCGAGGGAGGTGGTCGCGAAGCAACGGGAGGAAGTGAGGGCATCGCTGCCACAGGAACTCCGTAGTAATTACGATCTCCTGATATCCGAGTCGGACAATGCCACGATTCAAATGCCACCCAGTACTCCGACACCCATGGATCCGAACGACAAACAATTACTGGCCTTCTATGCCGCCCAGGTGATCACGCATGGTAATCACCTGACTCACGCCATTGACGCCTTCATGCAAACGGTCGAGCATAACCAACCACCAAAGGCGAGTACCTCTGAACTAACGATAAAATGAAATCTAAATGCTGATGATATCTTTTATGGATAAAACTCGTATGCCGAGTACGAGAAGACTTCCAGTGGAGAATTAACTGGAATTTTAGCACCTCAGTATGTTGGGTGGAAAATCGTTTTACATTTGCAACGACTTCTAGTACGATGAATTATAGAAAGAAATGTCTTTCAATATTAGATAAGCAAATCATTTGTTATAAAATGAGTTAGGAATTTTAATTCTTTTCCAATTTCTTTATTACTAATTTGTTATAACTCTGTTTACAATTTGGATAGAAACAAAAAGAATTGATTAATCAAAGTAACGTTTCACATTGTTCTGCGCATTGTAATGCTGTGCTTCTTTGAAAACAGGTATTCCTAGCGCATGGAAAGTTCGTGGTGCTGAGCGCTCATAGACTGGTGCACATCGGTGACACGGTGCACAGGAACGTGTCAAGGAACGACGTGAGAACGCGCGTATTACAGTGCGCGAACGCGTTGAGCGAGGCACTCGGCCAGACCGTGTCGAAGACGAAACAAGCGGCCCAATTCTTTCCAAGTGTGTCCGCTGTTCAAGAAATGGTCGACAGCGTGGTGGACGTCTCTCATTTGGCCAAGGACTTGAAGGTGGCCATGATCCACGCTGCGCAACAGCCTTGAGCGTTCAACGATCAGAACCTAATACTCGACACGAGTAAAGAGAACAAAGAAAGATGAGAAAGCTTACATACGCAATTTTTGAGAAACATTTACTGTTATTCTATTGAGGAAGAAGCCACGTTCGCGTTCGATTCGCGGCAGCTCCATCAAGTTCCTTGGATTGAGCGACAATCCTGATGATCAAAGCGATTGGACGAAGAAGCGAAATTCAAAATGTATGTCGTAGGTGTTATTCACTGCCGATTTGGTAGAAAAGAGCAGCTCGTCCGTTTGAATATCATCGATGCCTGATCATCCAGTCAAAAGTAGGGACATCTGACGACGAAGAGAATTTCGAGAGAGAAATTAATCAAACAACGAGGCAAGAATTACATAAGAATTCATTCATTGGTAGAACGAGTTCAATGGACATAAATGAAAGAGAAAAAAAAAATCTGTCTCTTGACTCGGATGATGGCAGAGTAGATGATAGAAACGCGAATTTCTGATCGTTTGATCGACGAGAAGACAAACTTGGACCAGGGAGGAAACGCCAACTTGCTTTTTTTTTTCTCTCGCTCGACTAGAAACGACAGCCTTCCCCCTTCGATCGCAATAAAGAATTCTCGAGGCCTATCGTTACTTAGAGATACGCAAACTGCCAAAGCCCACAGATAATATAGAACGTAAGGGGAAAAAATGCTCCTTCGAGACGAGCGTGTGTTTGTAATGTATCTCGAGAAACAAATATAGAGAACGTAGACTTTTCTAGGAAACCATGTAACCGTGTCGTTCATTTAGCTAGAGGTGTGGAATCAATTAAGCGACGTAAAGGATCGATAGTACGTGTAGAACGTATGTGTGTGTGTGTGTGTGTGTGTGTTCGAAATCATTCTCGAGACGTCGGTGTATTGGGTTTGCTTGGAAACGAGGATCATTTCGAACTTCGACGACGCAGTTGCCAGATTAAGAAGCTCGTAAAACGTTAAAACATTTTCGTTTGGATGCATATTTACAATGCATTGCACTGCAACGAATACATCCATTGAATCGAGGCGAAAGATAAAATGAAAGAAACGCAATAGTCTAATGTTCACTGCGTGAAAAAATAGCCGCCAACGCAAGAAAGGAATTCTTTGTAATCGAAAAATTAGTTTGTAACAGCGACGTGTCTACAGCATTAGATGTTTGTACGGGAGATTCAAAGTGCACGAGAAACGCTGTCTTTTTAGAGGCCAATTTTAAACGAATTTTATACAACTTTACCGCCGTGCCATGACTTTTTCATGCCTTTTCAGGCCTTTTTTACAGGCTCTTCCAG